GGCACTCTGCTAATCCGCCGGGTGACATTGGAATCTCTCCCGAGCTGCCGCACAAGCGCACCGCTTACAGGGAATGCTGGCTCCCAGGCTGGCTGCCTGCGACGGTTGTCCTGCACACCAGGAACAGCCGTTTGGCTGGCCCCAGATTGATCAGGGGAAGTGAGAAGATGCTCGTCTCCCTGAATGTTCTTGCCTTGTCTAGAACGACGCTGAAACTGACGTAAGGTCTGCGAGGTGGCTAAGTTCTCTCCCTTAGAAAGCGGGGAGCACCCCGTTGCTTGAGGGGTATAAATTGAGACTGGCAAAGTTCTAGACGCTGTGTTACAGGGAGCAATCCCAAATAGGTCTTGGGGATCTACCGGTCACTTTCAGCTCTAACATCACTAGTTGGTTGGTCCTCACCACATGCATGTGAGGCTGGCAACCATTATAACTCTAGTTTTCTAGTTAAGGGACCTGGAGGGCCGTGCTTTGCCCAAATCTGCCTAGAGGAGAATGCCAGAGCACATGGATTCCAGTCCCCCCTTTTCCGCTAGACCAGTTGATTGTTTTCTTGTTGGAGCAGTTGGCGGGGGAGGCTCAGATTTCTAAGGTGAAAGGCATGATGGGACGGGCTGGCTCTGTGGATGTTGCATGTCACATGGACCCTTTCGCCCCGAGGTCCTGCGTTCCCGTCTAGCCCAGGTTGGGAGTGTGGAGGTGCTGGACCAGGAGATGCTCACTACGCTATAGTCTCAGCATAGGTCGGACTGTACCAGCGTAGCAGTGCTGGCCTACCCTCTTCTTGTAGATGCTGCCTACGCTGACAGATGCTGCTGCCTATGCTCACCTCCCCTACATCAATAGAACCCTCTTCTGGGGACATCACTTGCAGTGTAGAGGCAGCTGAGCTGGCATAGGGCTGTCAGTCGGGTGTGGATCTCTTCACATAGCTTCTCCATATCTTTTCAGTGAAGCCCAAGCCTCAGTCCCATGACTGACTGCCTCCCGAAAGCCCAGTCATCATTAGCACCGTATGGACCTCTTGCTGTCTGCCCCAGCAATGAGCCACGAACCAGTGGGCCATGGAGAATGTTTATTTCCAGGTGGCCCATCAGCTCCTTTATAGGTTCATTAGTTTGTTTTAAAACAAACAAAAGGAAGTTTTTCTTCATGCAGTGCGCAGCCAACCTGTGGAACTCTTTGCCGCAGGAGGGTGTGAAGGCCAGGACTTTAATGGAGTTCATAAAAGAGCTAGAAAAATTCATGGAGGTGAGGGCCATTAATGGCTATTGGCCAGGATGGGCAGGAATAGTGTCCCTAGCTTCTGTTTGTCAGAAGCTGGGATTGGGCGACATTTGATGATTCCCTGTTCTGTACATTCCCTCTGGGGGCACCTGGTAGTGGCCACAGTGGGCAGACAGGGCGCTCTTATGTGTGGGCGGGGAAGCTGATCAGAATGCTGTTCTCGCCAACGCTGTGCCCACTGTGAAAAGAAAAGCAAAACTGTAAGGCGAGAAGCAATCTAACCCGTCAGGGCGTGATCAGCGCTCTCGTCCCAGGAGGCCTTTCGAATCAGCTGGGAGTCGCCGTGAGGCCAGGTGTACAGAGGCATCCGAGGCAGAGCTAGTGATGAATTGGTTTCACTGCCGCCTCCATCCTTTCGGGGCGTGCTTTATAGTCAAACAGCCTCTGATCACTTTGGTCCTTGTGGGAGGCCGGCGCTGCTTGGCCGTGGAGATTTTAATGTGAACGGCCCCCAGACTGCAGTCCTGCTTTGGCTGGAAATACAGCGTTCACCCCTTCAGGGCCGCAAGGGCACCCAGTAACTTTGATCCGTCCGTCGTTCTGTCTGATCTGTGCCTCTACAGCATGTCTGTCTGTCATCATTGGAAGGAAGAGACATTTGGTCTCCTTAAGGCTGGTGCATTGGGCAGCACCGAAATACTTGCAAGACGGTGGATTTTTTGGACCGGATAATATCTCATTGGAGATTGGATTTGGTGCTGGAGTGCTGCCAAGACCTGTCATTTTAGGGTGTGTCACTGTTGGCTCTTGCACGTCGAGAGCAGGTTGGGGAACGTTTCGGAGAGGGGTGACGCAAGGAACCCTTTGAAAATGATAAAAATGTTAAGGTTATCCTCTGCTGGCTATTAATTGTTTGAGCAGTGCCTGGAAGCCCATAGAACTGCGCACGGTACCAATGCCAAGCAAACGTCTGTTCTTGCTTCCAAGAGTGCAGTCTACATGCCCTTCAACGCCAAAGTTCCATCTAATTTTTTTTCCATCCATGTGTGGAATAAGTTTTGTTCTGTGCACTGAGGAAAACATGGGTGTGCACCACCAGTAGACACACATGCGGTGAGCGCTTTGCGAATCAGCTGGATGGCGTTGGAATCTCTCCTGGGTGGCCGCCCAAGTGCTCCGCTCACAGGCAGCATGGTTCAACTCCGCTCCCAAGCAGCAGTGCGGAGTGTGAAACGTGTTAAAGATTCACAAGTCAGGCCTAAAAATCAATGCGCCCTTGTCTGTTCTCTGGAGGGCTGAAACGTTGTGGAAGCAAGCTGAGCTTCTCACGGTATCCGTTACCTCCAGGAACTGAGGCTTAAAGAGACGTCTCATTCCATGCAGGCCAGCCAGACCGCGCTGATCACAGTGAGAGTGCCATCTTCCCAAACAGGATTGGACTGGGGCCAGTCAGATCCGGCCCCCTCGTTCCACCCCAGCCGGCCGATCAGAGCAGGAGCTGGGCGGGGAAGTGGAATCACACCCTGCTAAAGTCTGCTGCTCCTGCTTGGCGTGCTTCCCCAGATGCCTCTCATGCCAGCGCTCTGGCCCTTGTTCTATCTCTGGACAAGCGGACGCGCGATGTCCCGGCCTCTGTCTAAGCACATCGCAGCTGGGATACTCGTGGGATTGCTTGGGTAGCATCTGCTCAGGCTGGCTCCTTGTTACGGACGGAAGCCCCGGGCGTGCAGCCTCCAGGTACAAGACATGGCAGAGCGTGCTGTGATTTCGTTTTTTTTTTTTTTTGGATGCCCCAACAGATTCGCTGATGCAAGGCCGAACAGCTTTGTCTGCGTACTGTTCATTTCTCGGGGGGGTTGTTCCCCTCCTCCGAGTGCCAGTTCTTGTGTCCTGGCCCTGCGGTCACTGAGCAGCGGGGTTGTTTGTCACGTACAGCCTTGGTGACTGTGGCATGGCCGGTCTAGCTGTCCCCTGATCAGAACCCCTGAAGCTGCGGGCCCCGGCGCAGGTAAACAGGAATCGGTAGCGAATCGGAAGGCAGAAATGATCAGAAACGCAAGAGTGAGCTCCTCGGAAGCAAGACCGTGAATTTCAAAACCGCCACTGAGGTGAAGGAACTCAGAGACCTGGTAGGTCACATCCCATGGGAGGAAAAGCTGCGACGAAGGAGGATCTGGGGACAGCTGGCGGTTTCTCCGGGAGAGTCTATTAAAGACACGACTGAAAACCATCCCCATGTGCCAGAAGGCGAGGAAGAGGCCAGTACGACTCCAGCAGTTGGTAATGACCCAGGAATCCAAAACGGAACCATACAAAAAGTGGAAACGCAGACAAATTGCTGAGGGGGAGCCCAGGAGAATAGCCCAAGCATGTCGGGACAGTATCAAAATCCCCATCCGGAGACCCAGAAGACGAGAAGAAGTTCTTTTATGTACAGCTGAGCAAGAGAAGGATAAAGGAAAGCAAAGGTCCC